CTGGCCAATGACACTGCGAGCTGAGAGCATGGGTGATTTATTAGTTGCTACCAGCTAACTCGCTCCTCTGCATCTGATCTGTGTATTTATTCGTCCTCGGTATTATGCAAGCATGTGTTGTTCTATTATGGAGACTGTTTTCTCAACCTATGCCTTGGTTTTCTACATGAGAATACAATAAAATAACTCGGACTGTGATTACTTTTTTAAATAAATCCTGCAACTTGCAATTGAATTTCACACTGCATTTCAACCTTGAAAGGAACATAAATCTGAAACTAATATAAAAAGCACACAATTTTCCACATTCAGGTTTACGTTTTAGCAACAGAAAAGAATAACTTTTGTTTATCTCTGAAAACAGCTTTCTTCATCTAAACAAATGAGTAGAGTCAGTTTGAGGAAAACCTGTTTTGGTTCCTCAGATACACACACATATTCCAATTTCCTCCAGCACAATGACTTTTATGCAAATGCAACCCACACAATCTCCTGACCTCTTTTACCATCACACTGGGACAATGACAGTTCCATAATTGCAATGGTACATATCTGGGGTGTTTGATTTTAAATTGCAAAGTTGGACTCTGGCCTATTGAAAGGAAAAAACCTTGTGGTCCTTTGTTAATTCCAAACCGATCAGGTTATTATTTCCTTTTATCATTAAAAAAAAAATAAAGAAGAAGAAGAAGAAAAGAAAAAGGTAGGTGAGGCTAATTATTCCATTTTTATTTCCTTGCCACACACTTTTGCCAACGTGGCTCCTTGCAGTTTCCTCTGTGACCCTCCCCCACATCTGGATTTTAGTTCTTAACCCGGATTCTTTCATCCGTAACACGGATAATGAGAAAACTCCAAAAATGTTCCTTGGGGGAATGTTACACTGAAAGTTACCTAGGACCCAGCCCCACGTGTGTTTCTCTGCTCACCATGGAGACAAGAGATTCATTGACTGCTCTCAGCCAAATTGAAACCCAAATATGAAAACAGCATTATGGAATTCAGACAGACTATTCTGCTTCACTTCTAGCAGATGCGGGCAGGAAAAAAAAAAAAAAAAAAAAAAAGCCAGGACAATTCAGCTTTTGACTTTGAACAAGCAAAGCTGTGAACACCTCGCTTACAAATACATATCCTATCCTAAGAGCAGTGCCAGTGCAGGTGTGGGGAGGCCCGCAGAGGTGGGGGGCGGGGGGAGAGTAATCAGCTGGCCAGGAACCTCTGCGCCACTCTGAGCCAAGAATAAGTGAAACTGGAACTCGGAAATATCGCCCATGTCTTACTGGTTCCTTCACACCTTGAATGTCTACTGCTAAGTGGTTTTTCATTATATCTTTTTATTGGGCTTTAAAAAAAAAAAAGTTTGGGATCTTGTAAAGGGATGACCAAATTGCAATGCATTTTAAAGGAGTTTTTTGAAAACATTTTCCAGCTTATTCAGTAGCCTGCTATTCATCCTACAAATATTTATTGAGGACTGACTGTGTCAATATCAACTGACAAAAATTTGTAGAGATGCAAAGGCGTGAATCGGAGGAGCATGGTGAAATGTAATGAAGTGGTGAGCTGAGACACACTGCTCCTGCATTGGATACAGAGCCAGAAATGGGCACAGATACACCCCTTTTCACCCTGCACCCCTGACTGCAGCTCTCCAGGCATTCAGTGCCAACCTCACTTTAAATACACTTTCACACGCTCAGAGAAGATTAAGAGCGAGGTGCAGTTTCATTTTATTGTTTTAATTTCCCAGGCCAATTTTGCTTCATCGTGGAAATTTCTGGGGGGAAATCAACACAGCACTTCAGAAATTTTTGCTTGAAGTGACACACACACACACACACACACACACACACAACTCTTTTTGGGGGGGAAAAAGAAAAGAAAAGAAAGATTCTCAGGAAAATAATACTGCCAAAAAAAATGAAGAGGGCTTTGCTTGTTTTTGTAGCCATCATTAGCAATAGACATGAAGGTATTTTTTTTTTTTTTTGAGTCCATATGGAAAGATCATCAACACATTCTGCCTCTGGGTTCTTTGCCAAAATACCATAACCCACAAGCCTTCTACCTTAAACATAAAAGGAAAGGTGTTGTTCTGGTCAAATAAAGAAATAATTTTTACTAGCATACGTCTAATGTTAAAGCTGCCTAAATCCTGCCAAATACATTAAAACAACATCTGTAAAACAGATTTTCATTAAACTGATCAGTTTAAAGTTAAGCAGCTAGGCAGATGATGCTTTTACGCTCACCCTTAACCTTTAACCTTTAACCTCCTTTAACGGGAATGAGGACACACACTTCTTTGAGGTAATACAGCAAGAGGCAGCCCATTCAAATCGAACTGACACATGACCACGTTTAAAGTGTTGTCAATCAATATGTTGTCAATAACAAGAAAAGCTGAATTCTCACCGCTCTGCCTTTGCCTTATAAACTGCTACTGTCACTTTTCCACAAAGTCTAACTAATTCCCGAAGCTGAATTATGTAAATTAGGCTCTTAATGAAAATAAATTTTACGTAGGAGATTAGTGTCTAATCATTAACTCTGAAACTGTTTTTAAGTCTAATTTTAATATTTTAGCCAAATTACAAACCATCGCTTTTTTTTCCCAGGCCCTGGCCAATTTGTTAGCTTCTTATTTAAAAGCAATTAATGTTACTCATGAAGCAATTTTATTTTGCTCGCACAAGCTGACCAAGCTTGCTGAAGTCATTACCGTACTTGAAAACGCTCTCTCTCTATCTGATGCACACTGCCTCTGGTCTTTGTAACTCATGTTAGAAATGGCATCCTCAACACATCACTATCCTGCAATGACCAGAAATAAGGAAGGCCCCTTGAAGGATGATGAAAAAAGAACAATGTAGTCCAATGGTCCCGTATCAAGTTGCAACCGCTCAAATATTTCTCTGTTCAATCTTATTTTAATTCAAGGTAAGTTTGTTCAAAGTATGTTTGTTTAGTGACTGACCATTTTTAGACACTTACAGGATCAGGGAACTTGGGTATTTAAAAGATAAGCCAATAAACAAGAGTTGGGGGAAATTTTTGTATTTGACATAACATTTTAAAGGTAAGAGGACATAGATACCCTTTGATTCTGAGACCGAAGTTCTCTCTGCTTGAAAGCTCTCTTTATAAACAAGGGCTTGGCTCCTTGAGTTGTGAGCCGTTCAAAGACAATATCCAACTCTCCCTTCAAAGGAACTTCCAGACCAGTTCTGGCTCCCAGCAAACTGCTCTGCAGACAGTGAGCGGTGTCAAGTCACACCCATGGAATGAATGGAAAAACTTAAAACACACATGTCCACATAATCACCAAACAATTAGATTAAATCACCTTCCCTGAGAAAATAAACCGTGCCACTTTGCTTCTCTGGAGCTTCCCACACGGGATTAATAAAACAGAAAAATTTGTACATTTATGTCTTCTTTTGGCAACATGTTCGTTTCAAGTGTTTGAGGGGCTGCGTGAACATAAACCCAGCTCATGAATATTCTATCTAGCGCTCCCAGGGTTGAGATCTATTATTTATACAAACTTAATGTTTGTTTGTTTGTTTTCTCTCTCCTCAGAATTCTAAAAGTCTTAATAGGTCAGGGAGCAACAGAGGGGGGAAAAAAAGTTGACAGTTGAACGGCTGTCAACCACTGCTATAAAACCTATGAATGATAATACAATTAATTCTTGGATTATATTTTCAATACCATCAACTTAGAAGCTTTTCCGTATTACATCAAAACCTGAACTCCCCTCAAACTGTGTAACCCAAATCTAATGCTTTCATTATTGATCCGCAGAGCGCCACCATCACAGGAACCTTACACATGCTCCTGCCACGTCTTCCAGGTTTTACACTATGTACATCTATCTAGAGTTGGATCTTCCAGAAGCAGCCTCAACCAACAGTGCCAGGCTGACCCAAAGGAATAATTCCTGCTCACGCTCCAGACCACAGTCCACTCTGCTCCTCCTGTGTGTATAGTTTGAAGCAGTGTTAGAAAGGCCCTGGGTGTTACAATCACTGGGGGATGGTATAGAACAATCACTCCTGATAGTATAGTTACCCCTGATTCCTGGTGTAAATCAATAGGTAACACTTGCAAAATGGATTTTGTGATCATAGTTAGAGCTTGTTACAATGACGAATGGTCTGCAATATTTTCTGAATTTTAATGTCCTCTAGACAAAAGAAGTTCTTAATAAGTTACCCAGTTATTCATCACAGAAATGAATCTGTTCCACGTGTTACATGAACCAAGACAATCAAGCCAAACCAGTCCACCAGCTGCTCAAAACAAATTAACCAGTCATCGGGATTTACAAAAAAAGTCAAGACAAGTTGTGCAATCCATGGGGTTCCTCACTTGCATGGATTCATTACGTCAGCATCAGATAAAAGTATGATTTGCCTTTGAATGAGCATTTTTATCCCTGCATCATCCACGGAGGGGATTAAACATTTCTAGCTGGGGGGAAAATCATGCAAAATAACAGCAGCGTTCAGAAGACTTTCAGCTGATGCTAAGGGAGAGTGTGTTTCCTCAATATCACTAGGTACTTGAAAGAAAAAGCAAAAATGCGTACACAGAGTCACCGTGTCACCAAACAAAAGGTGGCACGAGGTAGCACTATTTTTGTCCTCTGCTCCCTGTACCCGTTCACATTTAGCTATAAGTGGTACACTACGCCTTTTTTAAAAACCAGTCAATTACACGGCATTATTTTGCAAATGAAAATACTCAGGAAAGGTATTTTATTTGGGAGAAAACGGCAAAGCAATCCATGCCACCGTGAGAGATATTGCAGAGGCAGACAGCCAGTCTTTCAAATACATCCTCCCGGTGCCTAGATTTCAACATGACATGTAGTAACGCTCCGCAGACACTGTGTTCCTTGCCCTCCTTTCCCCCCCCTCCCCCCTAACTTGCAGACTGGTGCTCCAAGCTCTGAACAGTTCAATCCCCTCCCCACCCCCGTGTCCCCTTACCTTGTACAGTTTCAGGGCCGCCTCGTGCCTGTGGTTGGTGGTGTGCAGGCGTAACTTATCCACGCTGTTGGTGTAGTAGTCGCAGGCGTTGCACTTCAGGTGCACGGGGTTGCCAATGGCGATGCACTTGAGCCTCCACTCGTTGCTTTTGCCTCCCTCCTTGATGTGAGCCACCAGCTGGTACTTCTGCATGTGCTTGTCGGTCTTGCAGTGGAGCTGGAAGTTGGCTTTGAGCTGCGTGTTGTAGTTGCAGAGCTTGCACTGGTAGATGTCTCCAATTACAGCCCTCCATTCCTCTTCGGGGAGGGCGCGCTCGCTGCTCACATGCACGCTCAGGGCCTCCAGGCTGTCAGAGGTGAATTTGTTGCACACAGCACACTGGAAGAGCTTCAATGCCGGGTCACTGATATAAGGTGACAGCTCTCCTGCAGTAAGGAGGGACAGGTCATCACCCATTAGCTGACCACTGGCAAGCCGGATTTCAGGCGGCAGCTCATTATTTACTACAGGAAGAAAAAAAAATTAAGAGGAAAAATAGACGCTAGAAAACACAGCGCGCGCACACACACACACACACACACACACACACACATAAAGGGATCTGTAAAAAAAAAAGTCTTTTGACCAGGAATGTGCTTTCTCTAGAGCTTAAACCCATAAAAAAATAAAATAAATAAATAAATAAAAAAGCTGTAATAGGATTGGATCGGGATCAATTACAATCATCCCTTTCAACTTCTAAATGCCCTCACCAGATAGCTTTAATTACTCCTACCGGGCATGATGTCATTCTGAAATTTGTATTTTCGAGGGCAGGAGCGGTGATCGATACCATAACAAACAGCCACGTGCTCGCGATGGAAGAGCCCAGATAAACTTGCATAATAAGCACTAATTGCCGTTTCGCAATTTGTCTGAGGCCTGATGAGATCTGGCTCATACCATAGGGAGGCGGGGATCTCTTGCCAAATACCTGGGAGAAGGTAGCGGTATAGGACTGCTAGCGGTCTAATTACCCCCCATCACAGGCACGGAAATGGTTTTCACTAACATTTCATTAAAAATAACGGTCTCTCCTTTGGAAGCGCAAGCTTGATATGTGAGGGAATAACTGCCAAAAATCAGAGCTATAAACCTCGCCAGGGTCACAGCGAATAAAGGCAGGCAGCACGGGCACATGCACGTTTGTTCACTGAGCTGCTGGATGAAGAAGACATAGTTTGCTAAGTCCTCTCGGGCTGCCCTGGACCTCTATGGAGTTAATTCAGGTTTTTTGTTTGTTTGTTTGTTTGTTTGTTTGTTTTTTAAAGTTTTTTATTTTATTTTATTGATTTTTTTTTTACAGAGAGGAAGGGAGAGAGATACTTAGAAACATCGACGAGAGAGAGTCATCGATGTGCCCGCAACCAATGTACATGCCCCTGACCGGAATTGAACCGAGGACCCTTCCGTCTGCAGGCCGATGCTCTATCCACTGAGCCAAACCGGCTTCGACTTAATTCAGGTTTGAAGGGAGGCCCCAGTGGTCTGATGATCAGCTAAGAGAGAGATTCCCTTCCAGGAGGCTGTCCCCCATTTGTCTGCACTCACCCCTCCCTCTGGGTGCATCCCACTAACTCAGACTGGGAAGCTAGCGGAGCTAACGGGAGTGGAGAAAAACAGTGAGTACTGACCGAGTCCGGGGGCCAGGGCGGCGGCCGTGGCCGGGTCCAGCTGGAAGGGGCTGAGCATCAGCTGCGGGTCGGCGGGGCTCTCCAGCTTCATGCCGGTCAGGCCGATGTTCTGGGCCAGGTAGTACTGGTAGAGCTCGGCCTCGGCCGGCGCCAGGCCCAGGTGCAGGTTGTGCTGGATCTGCTTCATGTTCTGCTGCAGGAGCATCATGTTGTGCATGTGCTTCTCGCTGGTCATGTGGATGCGGAGGTTCCTGGCCACGTTGGTCTCGTAGTCGCACACCTCGCAGCGCCAGGTGGGCTTCTGCTTGGGCTTGGATGGGGACGGGGTCCCGCAGCCGCCGCCCAGGCCGGCGTTGGGGGCGGACACGGAGGCGGCGGCGTGGCCGAACACCTGCTCGCCCGTGCCGCCGTTCTGCAGGTTCTGCACGTTGTTGAGGTGCTTGTCGGACTGCATGTGGATGCTGAGGTTGCCTTTGGTGGTGGTGGAGTAGTTGCACACCTCGCAGCGGAAGGGCTTGTAGCCGCACGTGTAGCTCTCGCCGCGGGCCAGCCTGGGGTGCGGCTGGCCCGTCTTGCAGTACGCGCACGAGCCCCCCGGCTCCGGGTGCTTCTCCTTCATGTGCGCCTCCAGCGTCTGCTGGTACTTGTAGTGCCAGTTGCACTTGGGACACTTGAGGGTCTTGCACGAGTTCCTGGAGTGCATCATGGTCATGTGGCCGCCCAGGGAGCGCGAGGACCCCAGCACCGTGTCGCACTTGGGACACTCGATGCCGCTGCCGCCGCCGGGGGAGCCGTCCCCCCCTCCGGGCCCCGGGGTGCCGGGCGCGCTGGGCGCGAAGCCGGGGTGGTGGTGGTGCTGGTGAGGGGGGGCCGCGCCGCTGTCCTCCTCAGCGGCCCCCCGGCCCGGGTCGCAGGGATGGGGGGCTTGGGGGGCCGGGGCGCTGTCCTTCCCGGCACCCCCGGCCTCCGGGGCCCCGTCCTTGCCCCCCAGGCCATAGGGATGGGCCCGGGGGGCAGCCACCTGCTGCTGCTGCTTCTTCTTCTCGGGGTCCTCGGAGGAGGAGGAGGAAGAGGAGGAGGAGGAGGACGGGGGGCCCTTGTCGATGAACTTTAGCACGCTGCTGCTGGAGGACAGAGGAGAAATGCTTTGGTTTAAGAGCGGGAAATCTTTGTGGCCCATACTGTGATCGGCGAGTTCGCCCATCGCCTCCTCGTCATCGTCCAGGTCATTGGAGGAGAAGGCGTCCTCCTCCTCCTCCTCGTCCTCGTCGGCCGCCTCGGGGGGCTCGCGTTTGACCGGGCAATCTGGGGTAACGGTGCCGCCCCCACCCGGGCGCCCCGCGGGGCTCCCCTGGGGCCGTTCACAGCTGTTCTCTTGGTCTTTGCTGCCCTCGGGCATCTTGCTGGCCTCGGACGCTGCTGGGTGGCCGAGGGACACGGAGGTATTCGGGGTGTTGGCGACGAGGCTGGACGACAGCCCCCCCAGGTTTGCAGGGTCCGCCTTTGGCATCATCGGGGGGACCCCCAGCTCAGCTGCTGGGCTGGAGGACGAGGACGACAGGGAGGACGCCAGGCCCCCCGACGAGCTCCCTTTTAAGAAGGCAAAGCCCGGCGGCTGGGGGGGCGGCGGGGGCGGGGGCAGGGGGTCCCCGTTCTCCACGCGGAACGCGCCCCAGAGGCCGCGGAAGGCGGCGGCGGCGGCAGCGGCAGCAGCGGCGGAGGCGGCGGCCGGGTCCGGGGGGCCGATGAGGTTTGCGGTGGAAAAGTGGGGGAGGGCGGAGGGGGTGGGTTTTTTTGGTTCCAGAAAGCTGATCAGAGGTTCCTTGTCTTTGCCGATGCCCTGGATGATGGCGGAGACGCCCTTGCCGCGCAGCAGCCGCTGCTCGCCCGCGTTGAGCGCCAGGCGGTGGTCGTGCACGGCGTGCGACACGAAGGAGCGCGTGTAGCCGAAGCTGAGCTTGCACAGGAAGCACATGAGCACGGGCTTCCTCCGGCCGTCGCTCACGCCGCCGTCGAACCGGGACAGGTCCAGGTCCAGGTCCGGGTCCGGGTCCGGGTCCGGGCCGCCGGGGGGCACATCTTTGGACACGCACTTGTGCTTGGCCGAGCCGTCGCTGGCGAGATAGTCCTGGTCTCGCTGGTGCCGCAGGTCGTAGACTCTGAAGCTGTGCAGCACCGGGCCGGCTCCTGCCAAGGCTGAGGTATTTGGGAAGGCCTGGTCGGCCGGGAAGGGCCTCCCGAGGGACGACGACGAAGCGATGTGGAAGGTGTTGATGATCTGCGGGTAGAAGGACAGCGGGGCGGGGGCCGCCTGGTCGCCCTGGTCCCCCCCTGCAGCGGCGGCGGCCAGGGAGTCCAGGAAGCGGGCGGCCGAGAGCAGCTGGCCGTGCACCCCGGCGGTGGAGGTGGAGGTGGAGGTGGCGGTGGCTGCAGGTGCATGGGGACCCCCGGCCTCCTTGGGGTCCTCGATGATGTAGGCCGAGCCGTCGGGCTGGTACACGATCTCCCCGGTGAGGTTCTCCACGTCGCTGTCCTCCAGCTCGCTGGCCTCGCTGTCGTGGTCATCCCTCAGGACGGGCAGGCGGGCGTTGGGGCAGTGGTGCTCCATGTACTTCTGCAGGCTGGGGAAGGAGCCGGCGCACTCGTGGCATGGGATCTCCTTGGCTGTGGCCAGCTGAGGGCCCGAGGGGGCATGCTGGCCGCTGCCCAGGCCCAGGCCCAGGCCCAGGCCCAGGCCCAGCAAGCCGTCCTGGGGGCCTCGCTGCTGCTGCTGCTGCTGCTGCTGCTCCTCGGCTGAGGCCTCGTTGGCGTTCAGGTTGCCATCGGCCGCAGAGGAGCCGTGCTCCCTGTCAGGCTCCATGCCTGCAACTTTCTCTGGCACCTCATTATCAAGTTGTGTCGCTGCCGCTGCCGCACACAGCTTTGATGTGCTCTGCCCATTTTCCTGCCTTGAGATAGGAGGGGAGTCACAGGTTTCCATGGCAATCGCTACATGGGGATCTCATTTCATCCAGCCTGTCAGGGACCTGGGTAAAAAATAAGGTGAGAGAAGGCATTTTTATTAAATAATGACACCGCTCACTAATAGCCCATCACTAATTTACGGCAGCTGTAAACTTGGCTATCTGCAAAGGTGAGGGGGTGGGGGGTGAAGGAGGGTCTGAAAGCGCACCTATCTGTCACACACAGAGACTGTGTGTGAATGGAGAGAATAATGCAGAGAGCCGTGGCAGCCGGGCCTCCACACCCTGGGTGTTTCTGAAGTCGCCATGGGCATCCGTCATAAATCTGAAATTCATCTCAGCAATCCGCGCTTCTCTCATTCCCCTTCTCTGAAAATGTATATATAACCGACAGGAAAGGCTCTGAAAGCCCCTTGTCCGTGACAGACAGGGAAATGGCTTTCACATATGAAGGCAGGAATAAAAAGGAACAATGCAAATGACTTGTAATTTTTTTAAAAATATTTACCTTTTACTTTCTCAGGGGGCATGAGGAGGGAAGGGAGACGGACCGTAAAGGAACCTTAAAATGAGAAATATGACAGTCACAGGCAGCGCCGGCCACGCTCTGCTCTGGCTTTCATTTTGCCAGTAAATCAGCTTACTACAAATCTTCCCTGCGCAAAAGCTCTCAGCAGGTATCTGGCTGGCCCTGATTAAGCACCAATCACAATTCTTCCCCACACTTCAGTCACCTCAATGGGCAGCAGAACAGAAATTAATATTTACTGCAGCCAGGCCTCTCATCCTAGGGGACGATCGCATCCGTTGTGTTTTTTCTTTTTTTCTTCTTTTTTTTTCTCTTCTCACTGCACTATGTAATGAACACCATTTCAAATACCATTTTGATGTTATCAATCCTGGTGAGATGCCCATCTCTCAACTATTGCCTCAATCAGCATCTACCCTAGCTTAACAAATCATACACGAGCACGACTGATGAAAATCCTTCCATCATTTGTTTTAGATTTAATTTTTCAGTTTTGTTTGGGTTTTTTTTTTTGCAGCCTGGCATCTTAGACCGTAAACTCCCTTTGTTGAGAGCAAGATACGCCCTCCGTAAAGCTATCTCGGGCTCCGGCAGCATGGTCAGGTAGCAGGGGACAATTGAGTATGTATTGGTAGCAACGCATGCCCTTCTGTGTGCAAGTGTGTATGAATATGTGTGCCCTCGTGTGTGTGTGTGTGTGTGTGTGTGTGTGCCCACAAACCTGAGCTACTGTAATAGCAACTCGATTACAGTGTAAGCTTCTGAATCCTGCAGCTCTCCGGGTTTGCAGAATGATGGCGCTGTACACACCACCGAGGGGGCTGAAACTTAGGTGTTTATTTTCAGTGTAGGACACAGACATCGTCTCGACTAAGCAATTTTCTCCCAAATCTTGCAATTCGAGGGATTCATCACTTCAAGGCAACTAGCCCCTTAATGTAAAAGTATCAATGCGTTCAAGGTCGCTGGTAATTTCTGATATAAGAGGGTTTGGCATTGCCGTATTCTGTTACCTGTCATAGTGGACAGGCTAGACACACAGCGTCTCACCCTGGATGCCCCTGCATATATTGCCGACTTCTCAGCGGCAGAGGGCTGAGGAAAAAACAAAACTCTGGGCTCACTCAGGTTACTAAGCGTTTTAGCAATTCCTTTTGAAAAGTTCTTCTGGAAGAAAGACCTCATTGAAGGTCACTGGCATATTAAGTATGAAGAATCACTTCTTAATACTCTCTTGACTGTAATCAAATTTAATCTTGTCAGCTAAATCAGAGAGGAAGTGATCAGTGTAGAATGCATCAAAAGATCGGCCGAGATTGGAAATGAAATCAAAATTCGTTTTGGTATCTGCCATGGTTAAAACGACATTCTAATTGCTCACCAATCAAACATCATAAAGCTTAGTGTGTAATTTTAATCATCATCGATGAGCTGCAGGTTAATTATCATCATGGCATGCCTGCAGCTTTTAAAACCCTCTGAAATAATCTGATAACCATAAGCATGAAAACCTAATAATTTCTAATTAGTCCACAAACGTTAATGTTTACCTTTGCATTCACCAGATCGCCGCAAACCATGTATATCTTCACCAAAGGCAGCCAAAATGCCTAAAATATAACCCCCTACTAGACTGGAGGAGATGCGGAAGGCAGGAAGGGGCTAGGAGTCTGGAGTGGGAGCGCAGTGGAGGGTAACACTCCATCAGTGGTCCTGGCTTACCCAGTACAGTGGTGGGACCCAGGGCAGGTGCTATTTATTGTTTCCTCCGATAAGATAGTTTAGGGGGCTGATACGCGGAAGGAGATTCACCTTAATCACAAAAGTAAGAAAAGCTCCCAAACACTGTGTAGCTTGTGAAGGAGTTGCTGAGCTTTTGTTATTACTTAAATGGTTTTGCTTATAGCCCTACTGCAGTTCTCAGCCCACAAGTGCACTTGCTGGCATTACGACCCAGGATGAGTACACCTGGAAGAGGGGTCTGTGATGTGCAGTTAATAATTTTGTCCAGATGCCGAATGGACTCTGCAATGTACCGTCTCAACACTGTGCTATATGAATCGGAACCTCTTTATTTTACCGGAAGTAACTTCCCAAAATGGGACAACATTGTTGCCATGTGAAAAAAAAAATTATGAAAACTACCCTGCAGAATCCATCACTGGTCGACACAAAATGGTAGGATTGATTTTGTTACAAAATTCCCACATCATTTTACACCAAATTGCCCATCAATTTCTTCTCAATAAGGTACACATTAATCAGAAGCGAAGTCAGATCCTGTCTTCAATGCAATCAAACTTACATTTCATTCCAGAAGCAACAATGACAAACCTATCTGGACCGATGGAAAGTAATATATTACCTGATTTTTAAATTCGTAGCTATTGACTATGGCCATGGCGATGCTTATTTTGATGGAATCAGCTTAGTTTGTGCAGTTAAAACATTAGTTACATCTATGTATACCAATATTGTACATATTAAATATGACGTCCAGTGATTTCACTGTCATCAATGTCAGAGAAGATCTTTCTTTTATCGATGTGACCCATTTAGGAAATTTACACTAAACTTTTATAAGTCCCAGTCAAAAGACCACAAAGAAGGCCATGTAACTTAAACCACAGAATTCATTCCAAAAATGACTGCATAACAAGGAAACTCACTATAAAAGTTGCTTCACCATTTAAGCTGGTCTCTATTTGGTCTTCACCAATTTCTGTTCTCTATTGCCAAACATTCTACCTTTAAAAATCACCAAAGTCTTCAAGAAATCATCCCCTCCCCCAAAAAACCTAGTACAATTTCAACGCTAAATTCAGAACAATACGTACCTGCTGGTCTGCTTAGAATATGTGGACACGTTTTGGGGGGACTCTCAGTAATTCACAAAATCCATGACTTTGATCATGGAAACCCCCTTTTTGGAACTAATGGACACTGCAGAAAAGAACTTCTATGGCTCGCTCTGCCTTGCTTTCGTCCTTTGGCCTCAACCCTGCTCTGCCAGCTGACCAAACCCACCTGCCAGGAGCTAGCTAATGACAGGGGTGCTTGCGGCACAAAGGAAGAATTCCTCTGCATTCAGGAAGCAGAGTTCCCATCAGAACCCCAAATCCGGGAGGCCAGTGTTACCTCTGTTCTTTAGCTGAGATTGTCTCAGCCCTCCTCTCGCGTCCAGTGAGACAGTGTTTGTGAAATGATGGAAAAGAACGTGGTCTGAGGAGGGGGCCCGAAGAACGGGCCAGCAAGGCTAGGTTAGCCACTCTGCAAAGTGCTGGGAAGAAACAAGGGATTCCGCCTATTGTTTTTATTCTCATCTGCTCCTGAGTCTTCATGGACTCCCTTTGAAATGGGTTAAAACCTGTCCTCGTAGCAGAGAATTTGGTATTTGGTAACAAGTTCTTAAAAAAAAAAAAAAAAAAAAAAAAAAAAAAAGGGAAAGAAAAAGAAAGAAAATAAATAAAAAACCTTGAATTATATCAAGTTTCCAAAAGGTCATCACTGTCTCTGTTGTGGCCTTTCTCCAGTCCAAATCCTCTATCAATATGTCATAGTGAGTTAGGCAAAGACAAAAGGGAGGTGCAGTGTGAAACGGCACATATATCTAATCCTGACAAAGCACTGAATAGCCTTCACAAGTATAATTATACTTGTTTATTTGTTGCCACGTACAGAGAGCTGATGAAAAAAAATCCATCAAAGTGGTATTATGCAGACACCAAGAGCTTCTTTTCTTTGGTCGCTGGAGCCACATTGAGGCTTAAATTCTTTATTGTTAAATGCAGAGGGGAGAGAAAAAAAGATTTTGGGCTGGACTTTCTTTCTTTTTTTTTCTTTTTTTTCTTTTTTTTGCATCAGTTGCTGACAGATCTTTTATGTCCTAGGCGGTATTAGCTCACACCGCTACCTCACTTCTGCCCGTGTTGGAATTCATAATTATAAACTACTGTACAGAAGCTTTGCAAAGGGTGTGGCGGCTGACCACGGGAGGAAGGCCCTGTTCTCACAGCCTCCCTTTTGATATATCAAAACGCAGGTAAAGTTACGTCAGGATCCGGCTTTGATCTCGGGTCTTTAAAGTTGGGGCTGGTGATTTCCTGGAGGGAGCTCTCTCTGCAATTTGCTCAGTTTAGTATACGTCCAGCATTTCATCAATGAGTGCATAACTCCTTTCCCACCGCACCATCAGAGACCTTTGCACGAAGAAAAACAACTCCAAGGATGGCCAAGGATTGAAAATAGAAAGAAAGGGATTTCAAGCCCGAGTATCAAGGCTCCATTATGTTCCAATCGTCACTAAATCAAATAACTTCACAAAGGTACATTTTTAGACGGGGTTAGGGGAGTCAGCTAAGCTCTCCTTCCCCCCCCCCCCCCCCCAGACCCTTGCAGGATAGAAATATATCAAAGTGCATGCACTGGGCATAGTTAATGTTTGTGAGCTTTACAATTTAAAACAGAAAAGCTGTAATTTTTCTTTGCTGGCAATCTGGAAACACTCTGGAGTTAATTACAGCTGATTCGGAGT